GGCAGACCTCTTTTGGAAATTTCTGTAATAATCTTTTCTGTATTATTTATTATTTATCTCAAGCAATTAAAATATCAGGACACTGTCATGTTCTCCAACCACTGATTAAACTAAAATTAACATTTCCTGATGTGGTGTTGGAGTCCTGGCTAGCTCACACCATGGCAGCACACTGGGAGCGGGGAACAGCTCCTGACCTGAGGGTTAAGAGCTGAACCTTAGAGCTGCTGCTCTATGGCACTTTTGGTGTCAGCACAAGGAGGAGGTAAAGGATGAGAGGGAGGCTTTTGGTGGGGGTCCCAAGGAGAGGCTTATCCCATGAAGAGGACAGGGACCAAAAAGCCCCCAACAGCTCTGTACATGGGTTTTTAGATAGGGGAGATTCAAGGGGCGGGTACAAAACTCTAACCAATAGGGAATCCAGGAGGGAAGAGGGAAGGGAGGAGATTATAATCGAGGGACCAATGGGAAAAAGGGGGAGGTGAGGGCAGGTCACGTGGGCTAATGGTGCCTCTAGTTTTAGGGATTTCCAGAAGAGAGGGACTGCAAGGGGTTGGGCTAACAAGGGATTTACAGGGAAGGATCCAGAACAGGGGGCGGGGTTTACAATGACAGATAGGGAATGCAGGGTGGGGATTACAATGATTGAGAGGTAAAGGGGAAAAACATAACTTGGGAATAATCCAATTTGGGGAAATACAAAATATGGAGGGAAATCAGAACAGACCATTTATGTAACAGAATCCAAAACAATAAAACACACCACAACAATTTCCCAGAGTATTAAAGGTAAACCAGTAATAGCTTAATATTTTGAGGTTAAATTGTAACAATTGCCCAGATCATGACACATATATAAGTATCTCTGAGATGCCACAGTCTCTCTGTGCCACCTATAGGCAGTTGATAAAAATAATTTTCCTGACTGCAGAAATCCTTGTGCTTCTAGCACAACAAGCTACCAGCATTCCTGGGGTGGGGGGGGAGGAAAATCCCCCTTTTATATCACTGCATATTTTTATTAAAGATAGAGCTTTCATTAGTGGAATACTTACATTATACCAGCAGAGTAGTGTTTTTCAGTCTGTCTGCCAGTGATTTTTTACAGAAGTATCTTATTTCAGTTACATGAGAAAATCCTGGTTGCCAATGGAATAATTTTTGGGGAAGACAGTTTTCCTAGTTTTGTTTTCCCAATTTTGTTTTCACATGCCTTGATATAAAGCAGATACTTGCAAATTGTTAACAGATGATAGCAAGTAACAGGAAGTCACAGAAAAAGGACAGGAGGGACAGAACTAAAAATATATGTGTGGGAGAGCATGGGAATACAGAAAGGAAGAGAAATGAACCACAGCAGAGAGTTCATTCTAAGTAGGCGTAGTTGACTAGACATTTTCAATGTAGATCTAAGATACAGACTTCAGACAATGCTGTGGAAAACATAGTTCCAGAAGCAGCACCTGAAAGCCTTTAACAGAGCTGTCTTCACAGAAGACACTCTCAATTTCAGTGGGAGTGTTCATCCTCTATCACATCCCATATCCACCATCTCACAGCATAATGTCATTTACTACCTGCAATTATGTCTAAAAGGCCTGTGAGTGAAGGAAATTAAAGAGGACAAAATTGTTCAGGAAACAGTAAGTGCCAGACTTCTTCTGCATTAATCATGAACTTTAGTACTGTTTGCTCTGGAATTCCAAAATACTCTCCAAACTCTGAAATCCAAAGGAATTATGCAGAGAATGACTGAATTTGATTGTTTGTAAGCAGGAAAACAGAATCCTGGATAATCAAGAAAGTTTCAAGAATTTTTGTGAAGTTTGCACATAGATTTATGAACTCTGAGAAGATATGTGTGTTCTTTACCTTCCTTACACTCAGTTTTCTCTTAGCTCTGCTCGGTGCGTAACAGAAAAATATTTCAGCTGCCCAAGCCCCACCCTCTTTTCTGTCATATCCTAGATCACAGCTGCAACTGGCAACTAATTTCTTACACACAGAAAGCTACAATTCTTTGAATCCACAAAACTGTCCATGACAAAACTCTCCTTTTCTTAAAAGACAGAGAGGTTCATCTGCACATGAATCATGAATAGCTCTAGATATTTTTGCCTGTAACTCAGAAATCTTGGGCATCGCATATGTGAACTAATGGTGTTTAACTGCTGTCATTTTTTTTGATCCTCACTTTCCAGAAATTTCTCAGCATGCTTCCTGGAAAAAAATTTCTTAGGCTTTGTTTCCATACAGATGTGGTCTTTTGATTTAGCTGTATCATTTTTCTGTATCCCTTAGCACCTGGGTCTTGGAAATCCACAGCATCTGTACAGTCTGGCTGGTAAGTGGAGGAGAAATTTGGGAAACTGGTATGTGAAAAATTGGACTTGAGCATAAAGAACAATGTATCCAGCTGGTCAAGGGGCATGATTGCCCTTTTCTACCCCACACTTGTGCAATCCCACCTGGATTTCTGCATCCAGTTGTGGAGTCCTCAGTTCAGGAAAGACAAGAGGACAGACTTTAGCTGTGCCAAGGGATATTTAAGTTGGATATTAGGAAGAATTTCTTCACAGAAAGGCCGATTGGACATTGGAATGTGCTGCCCAGGGAGGCGGTGGAGTCACAGTCCCCCTCCCCAGAGGTGTTTAAGGAAAGACTGGATGTGGCACTCCGTGCCATGGTGAAGTAGACAAGGTGATATTTTGTCATAGGTTGGTCATCTCAAAGGTCTTTTCCAGCCTAATCAATTCTATGACTCTGACTCTGTGATTCTGCAACATGGACCTGATTCAGCCAGTCTAGATGTGGCCACAAAAATGACTGATGAGCTGAAATAATTTCTTCTTGAAGAAAGGCTGAAAGAGTGGAGATTGGTCAGCCAGGAGAAGAGAGGGCTTTGGTGAGAGCTCATTGCAGTCTTTCAGTATTTAAGGGGGGTTGTCAGGGAGATAGAGGGAGAATACTCACCAAGAAGTTGTGACAGGACAAAGGGCAAGAGCTTTAAACTGAAAGAGGGTAGATTTACACTGGACATAATGAAGAATTTTTCTTCAGTAAAGGTAGTGAGACACTGGCACAAGTTGCCTACAGAAGCTGTGGATGCCCAATAGAGACCTGTAAGTGTTGAAGGCCAGGTTGGATGAGGCTTTCAGTAACATGGTCCATGGAAAGTGTCCCTGCCCATAGCATGACAGCTGACTAGATGATCTTTAAAGAGCCCTTCCAAACCAAATAATTCTGCTTTTCTGTGATAAAAAGCTTGCAGACCAGTGTATCAACACAACAAAAATCCTTATGCACACTGATCACAAAAGTCAGCAAGCAGCTAATTATAGGTGGTTTAATTCCTCCAGTTTCTGTAAAGTGTGCTTATCATGGGTTTAAAAAAAAAAAGTTTTAGGATCTGGCAAACAATTTAGTGAAATAAAAAATGGTTATCATTTGTATGAAAAATTGTCTGAGTTTTGCTGTACAACACTGGGAAGTGCTGCTGACTCCTGAAGGACAAGAGCCCTTGCAGAGTGAGGGATCTAAATACAATGGAGCACTGGGCCATCACCAGTGACATGAAAATGACAAGTCAAAATGCCAGTTTCTGCACCTGGGATAGGGAAATGCCAGATACAAATCTAAACTGGGAGAGGGGCAGCTCTGGGGTTGCAGAGAGGGCTCTGGGGGTGCTGGTTGGCAGCAGGCTCTGTGGCAGCCAGCAGGGTGCCCTGGCAGCCAGAAGGGCAGCAAACCCCATCCTGGGAGGACCAAACCCCATCCTGGGAGCACCAAACCCCATCCTGGGAGCACCAAACTTGGCATCTCTGGCCATCCAAAGACGTGACCGTCCCTCTGTGTCCAGCACTAGGGCAGGGCCTCCCTAGTGCTGGGCCACCAGTGCTGGGTGCAGGTCTGGGCTCCACCATTTCAGAATGACAGGAAGGTCCTCGAAGGTGTCTGGAGATGGTAAGACAGCTGGTGGAAAGACTGGATACCATGGCCTGTGAGGAGCTGCTAAGGGCTTTGGGCTTTCTAGTTTGGAGAAAAGGAGGCTGAGGGGCAACCCCCTTGCTCTCTACAGCTTCCTGAGGAGGGGAAGTGGAGAGGGAGGTGCTGATCTCTTCTCCCTGGGATCCAGTGATAGGACGGGTGGGAATGGTTCAAAGCTGTGCCGGGGAGGTTCGGACTTGCCATTAGGAAGCATTTCTTTATAGGCATCCTATATAGGATGGTCAAGCCTGATGATGCCCTGAGCCTGTCAGTGTGTAAGGGGAATTCGGACAGAGCCCTTAACAACCTGTTTTACCTTTGGGTCAGCCTTGAACTGTAGCAGTTGGGCTAAATTCTTGTACATCCCTTCCAACTATACTATTCCATTCTAAGAAACTTCTTTCCACGAGCACGTAAATGTAGACTAACAATTGACATTGTCACACCTCCACTATAATAGACGTTTCTCCTAAAATAAAGAGATTGAAAGCTTTAGTCAGTCTCCTCAAGGACAGCAGGACTCTGTCACTGTCATTAAGCAAATAGGCTGTCCCAAGGACCGCGAGCAGGACTCGTTCTTCCGCTCTGTCCTCCTTAAGGTAGCCAGGGATAAATTACTGAAAAGCACTGCCTAAAGAACATGTGTCCAGAAACCGACTCATTTCGATGTAGGGGCCGTATCCTTGTGCAGGCACCACGTTCCGCTCCGGACCGTCCTTGCGCGCCCGCCGAAGGAGAGAGAGCCCGCATCACCCGGAGAAGTAGCGGGCCGGGCACCGGGCTCATCGGGTCACACATATCTCCCGACACTTCCACGCTCCTAAAGTTTCAATTGAAAACACGCAGGTTGAGAGAGCGGAGGAGAAGGCAGAGGCTGCTACCCGTGACGCGACAAACTCAGCCCGGCCCTTCTGGCCACGGCCCCGCCGCCGAGCGCTGAGCACGGGGGCGGTGCGAGCCCTCCCAGCGCCCGCCCGCCCCCTGCCCTTTGCCCCCGCCGCTGTCCCAGCGCTTCCTGTTCCCAACCACGTGGGCAGCGGGATGGCGGGCGGCGCGGCGGGCGAGGCGCAGTGCCTCAGCTACACGGGGTGCAACTTCCTGCGGCAGCGCCTGGTGCTGGCCACGCTCAGCGGGCGCCCGCTGAAGATCCGCAAGATCCGCGCCAAGGAGGAGGACCCCGGCCTCCGCGGTGAGTGGCGGCACCGGCGGCCGCGGGGCAGGAGGTCGGGCGGCGGCGGAGCTGCGGCGCCGGCTGTGCCCGGGACCTGCTGCCGGGCAGGGGCAGACCCCCAGTGGGAGCTGGGACAGCCCGGGCTCCGTCTGGGCCCCACCCAGGAGGGGGACCCAGCTGCGTCCCGGAGTCTCCCCGTGGATGCGCTCTTCCCAGAGCGCTCCGCGCACCCATCTCGGGTGTAGCTGTCACACGTGGGGAGCGGGGCTTTGGGAGGAGGAGGAGGCGGCGCTGGTGCGGGCAGGGACGATGGAGGAGGCCGGAGCAGGGGAGCTGTCACACACCCGCTGCTTCCTGCGGGCGCGGGGTGGACGGGGCAGTAACCATCCCCGTCCCGCTGGTTCGGCTCGGCTCGGCAGCCCTGCCTTTTCTCCAGAGTGAAACATCAGGGGCCGGTGCGGGCGGCCGGGGCTGGTGCTGCCCTGCCTTGATGCCCGCGGTGCGGGAGCGGCCAGGCGGGGCTCTGACCCTCTCGCTGCGTGTGCCTGAGCCTCTCTACAGCCCCGGAGCTGGTTCTCGTCCCTGTGACGGTGGCTTCGCAGGCGGGATGGCAGAATTAATAATTCCCTGTCTCTCAGGCCGTCGTTTCTGCCGCGTGCCTGTGCCCAAGCGTCGTGTGCTCCCTGTGTTTGTGGGAGCTCACGTCCACGCAGTTTTAATAGGTCACGTTTTATGCTTTGATTTTTGTCAGGGTTTGCTGAAACAGGAAAGGTGAAAGAGATGAAATCATTTATTCTCATTTTGGCATATTTGTTTAAGGGAAACCTTTCTTAGGGAGTACTATTGTCATTCTTGTGCAACTTTGCACTCTTGTGCATTCCTTTGGCATCCCAGGATGAATTCCATCGTAAACTGAAATAAGAAAACAATAGGATGTTTGAGGAAGAAATGTTATTGTGGTGTTCAGTTATTTTTTGGGTATGGACCCCTGTTATGAAGTTCAGAACAGGGGTAGATGCCTCTCTGCCTCCCAAGAAGCCTTCAGGGTATAGTTAAAGTTCTACTCAAAACCTGCCAAAACATTCTTGTGTGCTTGGCTTAACATTTACCATGATCCAAAGTATTTATTATCACTGTGCAGCATTTGGTGGTGGTGAAGTTTGTAGATATTGCCATGTTTTTTTACAGCATGTTTGAATTGCTTTTTTCTTAAGTATGAGTTCAAGGGTAAACTATAAATGCAACAGAAAAATAATAGCAATAAATCCTGATTCATGTTGATAATTCAACAAGCAGTTCTTTTTGTGGCTAGAACTTTTGTAAGCTCTGCTACTGGTGTTCTCCAGGAGTGAAATGTGCGCTCACAACGATGCACTCGTGCACTGGAAGATGCCCCAGTGCTTTTAAAGTAATATAGACTTTATAAACGTATAAGCAGTCATTATTTAAAAATTGCCATAACGGAGAGCATAACCAGTATTGCGTGACTGAGGCATAAATCATGTTATGCAAATATTAACAACTGTAAATTCTGCAGGTAGCACTGTGGTTTAAATATCTATTACATCCTAGAGTCACATATAGAAATCACATCTGATTACTCTGTAAGAAGTAACACAGGATTATTGTTAAGGGAGTTCTGCAACCTACAAACAATTATGCAGATGCTGTTGGCTCTTAAAACTAATTGGCTTTTGAATTCTGCATGTATTCACCTATATGCCTTTATACTGAGTCTGTACCCTGTTGGAATACTAGAATACTAGTATATTCTTCCTGGGATGGCTTTTTTGTTGTTGTTGTTTTGTTTGGTTAGTTTTGTTTTGTTTTGGATTTTTAATTTTTTTTCTTTTTTGTGTTATTTCCTTTTTTGGTTTTGGTTGGTTGGTTGATGGTTTTGGTTTTGTTTTAGGTTAAATTTGCTTGTCCTTTTCATTGTCTCTGGGGGAGAGTCCACACAATCAAGACAAACCATGGAATTACTTGACGCAAACTGCTATAGTATAGTGAACACAGTAAGCAAGGAAAGAGGCAGTGGGAAGACTTGTGGTTCTCTAGCCCTAAGTATATAAAAAATGTTTCAGAAATGGAAAATTTTAGAGTCTGCAGACAACTAACTCTGTTTGTGGAACAGCTATGCAGCAACAGCACTTCACCTCTTAATGTCTCCTTCTTTAAAGCTAACATTTTAACAGAGAACATTGTGAAGCTGTTATTAGCTTGTTGTGCTTCAATATATGGGGTCCTCTTTACTATGTTTTGTATGTTTTGCTTTTGTACTGAGTAAAATGTAAATTGTCAAAAGTTTTATCATGGACAAGAGCAATCCCTCAAGCCACTGTGGTCAGAAATGTACGCTTATTTTATATGCTGCGTGCCAGGGAGAGGAGTGTGACTAGTCTAGCTGCCACATCTGAGGGCATCTCAATTGATTTGAGATGCCTATGAGCATGGAGGCTCACATTAGCATCTCTGTTTTTACAGAGAATTGTCTTTTCACATATTGTGGTACTATGCCACAACTTGAAGTGTGAGAGCAGCCTTAATGTCATGAAAGGCAGGAAAGGGTAAAAGTACAAGTAAGGTGTTGAACTTTTAAGAAACTTTATAATTCTGTCTGTGCTCTACTCCTTAGATTTTGAAGCAAGTTTTATTCGTCTGATTGACAAAGTGACCAATGGCTCGCGGATTGAAATAAACCAAACAGGTGAGATCTGTTTTTTTCTGCTTCATCTGTTCTGTCTCCAGGATTTATCAGTTTCTGCAGTAGAATCAAAGTCTTTTCTTGATAGATGTAGGTGTTCAGATAAGATTACCGAGAAGATGAGAAATAACAAAGTTGACAAGTTTTGTAATAATTGATCATGTGCAAGAAGGTCTGTGCCCCACTGTAATGTAGAGAGCTAAGGGAAGCTCTGTTTCCCAAGAGCTAAAATTAGTATTTTGTTAGGTATACAGGATTCACAGTGGGAAAAGGTTCCTCTGTACCAGAATCAATTTTTGTAGAAGACAAAGATTTACCCTCTACAGAGGCAAACTTCTTAGCCAGACTGCTTGCTTATTCGTGCTTAGGAAAGGGTTTGATTAGAGTGAAAAAAGTCAATGTGAAAACCTCACCTGGTCTGAGTTTTTTGGGTTTTTTTTTTAAGGGTTCTAATGATTTTCAGTTGGTAAGTAAAGCAAATGAATTACCATCAGATATGCCAAGACTACAAGGACCAGATGGACTGATGAAGGTTTAGCTTCTGTGGAGGATAATAATTGCTTGTATCAACATTTTGAAGATTGCTAAGAGATCCTTGGTTTTAGGGGGAAGGGAAAGGAGGACATTAATGTGCAGGACAGACAGACACTCATGTGTTGACCCATTCATTAGTTGCAGACATGTAAATAGTGTGCTGGAAATGCTATAATCTTCCATATAGTCTTCTACCTCCAATTTGCCTGCATATGTTGTTGCAAAGTATTTTTATGCTGTTTTAATGGCCAGTGTTCTACAGTGCTCTCATTTGGTTTGCCCCCCGTGCCTCTTCCTCAGGTACCACCTTGTACTATCAGCCTGGTCTTCTGTATGGAGGCTCGCTGGAACATGACTGCAGCCCCAGTCGTGGTATTGGCTACTATTTGGAAAGTCTGCTCTGCTTGGCTCCTTTCATGAAGCATCCATTGAAGATTGTCTTGAGGGGAGTAACAAATGATCAAGTAGATCCTTCAGTAAGTAATAAAGTTTAAGTATCAGAGAAGGATATTTCTTCTCCCTAAACTAACAAGATTGGGAAGAAGTGTCTAAAACATGTTGCATTTTTATCATCCCTCACATCCAGAAGTATCCTGCAGTTGTTGCTGCATTAGCAAACTTTCTGAGTCAAAAGAAGCACCTGCTCAACTAGAGTGTATTAAACTCTAAACTTCAGTTTGTGATTCCCCTTCTGATGTTCAGCTCTGTACTGCCTCTGTCTTCTCCCTTGCAATCTCCTTTTAAATGCCATGTGAGGCCCTGCGACAGGTTTGGTTCTCCCATTCTCTTAGAATTTCAATAGATTATTTCTCTTGCCCTACATGTGTATTTACTGTATAAAGTGTCTTCAAAATATGAGTGCAAAAAGGAAGGAATCCTTCTCTTCTGTTGGATTCTGGACGTAGTCATACCACTGCTGCTGTCAAGCCTTCTTTCTATCAGAAACAAGTCACATGGTAATTAGGGAACTATAGTAGCAAAAATATGTAGTAAGTCTCTGGTTCTTCTGAAATATGCCAGGAGGTGTGGTAGGTCAGATGGCGATGAAATACTTGCCGTGGTTTCTTAAACTGATCTGCAGTCTTCTGTTTTGTACCAGTGCTGTAGCAAAAACGAACTGTGGGAGATGTGATCAGAATGCCGAAGTAATGATTAGTGGTTATGCTCTTTATTTATTTTTCTCCAAAAACTCCAGACATATACTTTTTTTGCTTTTAGAGAACAGCATTACTCTTCACTTTTTGAATGATGATTGGACACTGCCTGTTTTCCTCTGAGTAGGTTAAAGGGCACATTGTAATCTGGGAGCTTAACCAGTTTTAAATTAATACAAATACCTGTAAAATACAACTACAGATACTACAGGAGTCCCTGAGTCCTTCTAGAATTTGTCTTTTCAGCTGTGTTTCTCTGGTCATTTAAAAAACTCACTCTCTCACCCGTGGCTCTGTGAGACATCCACATGAGTCAAAGGATGATCAAAGTGGGTTGTACACAGCACTATAAGAGAAAAAGAGGAAGCATTTTTTGCTACCCTTTCAGTCATTGTGATTAGAAGTCCTTATTGTAACTGGTAAGTAGTAAGAATCAAAGAAGTCCTTTTCTGTTGACTGTTTAATCACAATGGAGAAATTCTTGCATAATCTGGATATGAAGAGTAGTCCAGTGTTCATACTGCTTTCAAGTAAATTTGGACACTTATTTAAGCAACAGAGTCTTGATTCTGGAAATTATCTCCTTTTGGGCTTCAGTCACATGGGCCTGAGATTAACTATTTTAGTTCAAATGGGTGTAAGACTTAAGGCCACTTTGCTTGAAGGGTGCTTGCATTTGCCAAAACTCAGACAAGTGGGTTGGCATGCATCAGCTGACTCCAAGCTCCAGACACTAAATGTAAATCAAATGAATGTAAAGAATTGCATCTTAAGTTAACTGTGCTATAGTAGCAATTACATATTAGTTGTAGTGGCAACACAGTAATAACTTCAGTTACTGTGGTTGAGTTCATACTTGTTAACTTTTCAATTTGGTGGCTGTAATTTCATTCGGTGAATGAAATTCAGAATTTCATTCAAATTTCATTCGGTGGCTGTAACCGAATACCAGTTCCTAAAATTGATTTCAACTTAGTTTTACGTCTGCTTAACTTGTGTGAGTAAGCATTAATCCTGGTGCACACCAATAAGGTACTTCAAGGACTTTTACAAGTTGTTTTGTATAACATATGGCTCTGCTGGTTTCTGAGACTAAAACCACAAATCTAAGTGCTACCCTAATTGATTTGTATGCTTAAGTAAATGGAAACTTTATTTTAAATTGATTTTGGTGTAGCAATGTATCTAGATAACTTAGGCCATAGTGTGCTCCAGCCAAACCATCTGTAGAATTTCTTACCAGACACTCTGGGATTTGTCAAGGTTGCTAAGATGTAAACTGTTCTAAAATAAGAAAGAAGAGGCTGAGAAACAAGACCACAAAAACCAGATAACAGGGGGCAGTCAAACGCCTGGACAGTGACCAATCCTGAAAAATTCATACTAAATTCATAAACAGGATGGAGGAACCAATCAAGTAATGCATGATCCCATAAACAGTATAAAGTGCATAATGTGAACAATGAAGAGTTTCTGCGAAATCATATTAGTTCATTGTTTAGAGTTCTGAAGCTCCCACATTTTGGTTTTTATTTTTCAGTAGACAGAGAGTGTTTTAAAGTCAGTGAACAGTTATTACCCACACAATTATGCTCGCCCAAAAAGAGGTGCTTAAACTTGTTTATCTGTCGGTATGTTTTCTGCTCTCCAAGGAGAAGGTGGAAAGGCAAACCAGTGTGACTACAGTGTGGGAGTTTAGGTGTTTTCCCTGCTGCTCTTCATGTAACAACCTCTCTATTTCAACTTAGTGGGTTGTATTGGATTTGCCTGGCTGGGTTTTGTGAGCTGGGATGCTACAGAGGTGGCTTCTGTAAGAAGCTCATAAAAGTTTCCTCTTCATCCAACACAGGCCACGTTGACCTGCTCCAAGACAGACCCATTGCTGGCCACGTCTGAGTCCATCAGTGATGGTAGCACTTTTGGGGTAACAGCTTTAAGGAGGAAGAGTGCGGGGGTTGGAATTGTGGAATAACCTGGAGCAGGAGAGAGGAGTGAGAATATGGGAGAGAAACAGCCCTGCAGACAGCAGGGTCAGTGAAAACAGGGGGTGTTCCATGCAGTGGAGCAGAGATTCCCCTGTAGCCCAGGATGAAAACCATGGTAAGGCAGCTGTCCTCCTGGAACCCATAGATGTGGACAGTGAAGTATATATTCACCTGCAGGGCCTGGTGCTGGAGCAGGTGGATACCTGAATGTGGCTGTGAACCTGTGGGAAGCCTGCACTGGAGCAGGATTCTGGCAGCACCTGTAGGCCTATGGAGAGAGAGAAACCTATGCTGGAGCAGGTTTGCTGACAGGACTTGTGAACTCATGGGGAACCCGCACTGGAGCAGTTTATGAAGAACTGTAGCCAGTGGGAGGCATCTATGAGGCAAGGAGCAGGAATATGCGTGCAACCAGAGGAGTGTGACCTGTCCCTTGTGGCATTGAACAAGTAGGCTGACTCACTGGGCTTTGAGAAATCCACTTTCAGCACTGAGATCTTGGCTTTTACACAGCCTCAAAAGTATTTGTGGGATGCGATTGCTGTGTGGTTTGAGGTTGCCCTTTACCAGAGACCTCCTTGTCAGGTGCATGCAAGGGAATATTATAGATCTCCTGCTGTGAGGAGAGTAGAAGAGATCCAGCTGAGAAGAAGAGTTTCTAAAGGACATCTTGTTGAAGGAAAGATTTTTGCTTCACTTTTTGCTGAGTTCAGTGAGGCACAGATCAGTCTGCGTTCCCGGAGTTTACTTCGGTGTTTGTTTACATACGTTAATAGCCCTCCAATAGGGGCCAATGGAAAGCTCTTTGACAACTGGCATCAGTCCTAAAGAGTACGGTGGCCACTGAACATGCACTTGTTCCATCTGGGACTGTGGTGACATTATTACTAATAATATTATACATATTATTTGTTATATTATTAGACACTGGAAAAAATCAGCCTGTGGATGCCACAACCCTGGCAGTGTACAAAGCCTGGCTGGACGGGGACCTGGTCTAGTGGGAGGTGTCCTTGTCCATGGCAGGGGCGGGTGAGCTTAAGGTCCCTTAAAGATCCCTCCTGCTGTGATAATATTGCACATTATCACTACTGTGTGAGTGATACATCGTAATTGGGTGAAAGGAATGCTACTTTGCTCTCACTAGAGCAAAGGAATAGATAAGCCTGGACTGTTCATTAGCAGCCTACACTTACGTTATGTTTTCTTGTGCCATCACTGGTGAGATCTGACCCTGGGTAGCTTGTGGGACCAACCATGTGGGACTGGGTTGAAGCGGTTTAAAGTTTCTATGTACAGGGATTATATATGTGGGGGGTGTCCTTTGTAGAGTGCCTTTCTGAGGGGAATGGAGGTGGCACACAAATAGTAGCTCCTATTTTCCTTTCCTTCTTTGTGTATTGTCATTCTGACATTCAGATACAGCTGCAGTAACCTGTTTTAGAGTAACCATTCTTTGTGTTTCCAGGTGTTGAAGATTTTTTACAGCTATGCCATGAGGCTTTGAGTAAGAATGAGTCATGCTGGCATGAAACTTTAGCTTGGGAGCAGTAATCTTCAGTCTTAATCAGAACTCAACTGTTTGTAGAAAACAACAAGTTTTTCCTACTGAATTTTCTTCCCACTTTTCTTTATTCCTTGTTAAACTCTTTTTTCTCTTCCCTCTCCTCCCAGTCTAGGCCCTATTTCAAGAAACATAACAACATGTGTATGGTGGGGCACAATGATCTGTGCAATGCTAATGGATAATATAGGCCAACTGGTGTTTTTCCCTTTCTTAGGTAGCCATGTGCTGCAGGGTCTCTATCTGGGTGTTTTGTTTGGTTTGTTGGTTTTTTTTTTTAAATCTTTGCACTGGATAAGGGATTCTTGAACTTAATTTTCCACCTTTTTCTTCGCTATTGTAGATTTCTTTACAGGAAGTGATTTGTATTTACACAACTTTGTGAATAAGCAGTATCTATGGGAGTTAGAATGTTGTCATTTGTGGTGAGATATACCATCAGTTGTATGATGCGTCTGTTTTGGTGCAACTTGGTGCTATGTTGTCTGTTCTGGAAATTGAATAACTGCCCTCCAAGGGGAGCCCATCCAAAGGATGTGGTTTATGGCTGAGAATAGGCAAAAGGATAGAAAAATGGGTTTACAACTCAGTTCGGCTGCTGTTTTCTGATTTTCAGTGAACTGCTTCACATCCTGTGGATGCTAACTCTGAAACAGAGAGTTTATGAAACTGCAGGCCATATAGCTTTTCAGTCTTGCCTGAGAAGCTAACCTCAGAAATTCATGGGAGGATTCAAAACAATCCTCAAAGACAGAAAACAGCCTTACAGGTGCTGTTTCTCTGTCTCTTGTTTTCTTTGCAGGAGAAGGTTGGGGGGTGTGTGCCCCACTGACCAATGATGGTAATGTAGTAGTTTACTAACCAATAAGGGTTTCCTTTCTGTACTTTCCACGTATCAGTCTATAAAACAGAGCTGAAGTAATAAACTACAAGACATTCTCCTAATTGACTCCATGAGAGTCTGTGTCGTTCAATCCCAGCCGTTCCTAATAGAGTGACAACATCCTGCCCAACTTGCCACTTCTCTGCGGGGCAGAACACCCTTCTCCCATTCTTCAAATACTGATGATTGCCTCCTCTATTTGGGCAGCAAAATTGGAACAGTCAGTCTTATATGTCTGTTTCATACCTCTTAAGTATTACGCCAGGAATTTTTTTGAGGACTGAAAATTATGACAAATCTTGAAGTTTTTTGAGTTCTTAACCTACACAGTAAAGCTTTTTTATTTTATTGGTATGTTTTGTTTCATGAGAAGGAGGAAGAAACATTGTGTGATTTTAATTTGAACCAGATCAGCTTGTTGAGACTTCTGCCAGTGGTATTTGCATGCTTGTGCACATGCATGTTGGTAAAGGCTTTGCTCCAAAAGTCAAATTTTTACAGCTAATGAAAACTACTGAAGGGCCAAAGCAAGGTAGCCTGGCTGTAAAAAACCATAAACTTTGTAGGTTAAAAGGAGTTAAGCATTGGTTTATTTTTTTTAATGAAGACATTAAAATATTGATACTGAAAAGAACACCAAATGTCTCTCTGTTAGAAAGGAAATACGTTGTCCAGCAGGAACTGAAAACAAGAATTGAGAATGAGAACATATATTCATAGCTCCTCAGGTACCACTAACAGAATGTTCACAGATTTGTAGGTGAGGTATGTGCTGCCGTTTTGCCAGTGGCTTTCACTCTCTTCAAAGCAGAGAAATTGAAATTTAAGAATTTTGAATTTTGGATGAAGGCATGGGAAAGAGGATGCTTTTTATCTGCCTCATCAAATGCTGACTACCTCATTACTGTTTCCTTCATCTGTGTTTATTTTGCTTTTGGTCATGCTGTCCTGATCCTGTCTATCCACAGCTATTTGTCTTGGGTAACTCCCTGTGTTGTTGCACTGCTAAATAATTTTTATCACTTTTGGCAATACTACTGAAGTTTCAGAAGAGGGAAGAAGTGGGCAGTCCCTGTAGTCTTAGGAATTAGGAAGAGCTACAGCAAGGATAATTCTGTTCAGACCTGGACCTGGTAAGCACCTAGCTTAAAAGGGAGCACACTGATGATGTGGTACCCACTTCAGATTCTTTTAAGTGCTTCAGTAGAAACTACCTATAAGCTTCTGTTTCTTAGAAACAGGTAAAAAGAAATTGTTGATAGAATGATCTTTCTGCCAAAAGAAATTGCTCTTGCAGTGATGATTGAAAAAATGCAGTGGTTCTTGCATTAATTTCTTTAGCTATTGGAATTTTTTAGTTATGACAGAAGAATATTATTTTCTCAATAAAAGAGAAACGTTCAGAGAAATGTTTCACTGTTCAGAGAAACAAGTAAGCTGTTTTACATAATGGCATTCAAAATCAGGCTGAGGAAGAAGCCAGAATAGGAAATTCTATCTGCCAGTAATTTGTTCTAGGAAATTTTTTAATAATGATGTACTGTGATAGTCTAACTAGATGAAGCTGTCTGCGCTGCACGTCTTCCCATAAAATACCTTCTATGAAGAAGACTTGTCTCTGTTAGTCACCTCATAATTCAGTGATTTTTTAAATTACTGACTAACCTAACTTCCAATAGAGAGTTTCTTTTTTTAATTCTGTGTTCCATAGGTTGATGTCCTTAAGGCAACAGCTCTACCCCTTCTGAAGAAGTTTGGAATTGATGGTGAAAGTCTGGAAATCAAGGTAAGACAGTTTGTTCCTTTTCAAATGTGTTGAAATTGTTCTCCTGCCGTACTTCACAGGATGATGTGCTTGCTGTGGGTTTAACAGTCTCTAACAGTTGTGGATACAAGCCACACAGTGATAGAGAGGGTAAGGAGAAAGTAGTGACTTTTCTTAGTCTCTGAAGAAGACTGAGAAACCATTTTGCTTTTTGTTGCTTTTCAGTTAATTTATTAACTTTTTATTTCTACTTGTTCATTCTGCCTCATGCTTGGGGCTAGGGAGTAAAAATGGCATCTTTAACCTTTTTCACCTGTAGGAGAGCTGGGTCAGTGTTTGGGTAGTTGAGGTCTGCTTCCAGTTTGGAAAACAGAGAAAAGAAGCTTTTCTTAAAGACTACAGTCTTCAGAGACCCAGTAAATCCAGATATAAAACAACATTGGGGTTTCTTTTAGGTTGGAGAAATGTGTGAAGAGGCTGCGCTACTGGGGCCTGCTGGTGCCTTGCTCTGTAAAGCCTCACCCCTCACCCCCACCCTACCCGCAGCCCAAGTGCCCATGTCATTGTCCTGGCGCTGTCAGCCTCTACTCCTGTGACCCCACAGCAGGACTTCTGCTCACCCAGCCCTGCCCTGTCTGGCTGTGGGCCTCCTTACCCAGACCCACTCACTGGTCCGTGTCCCAGCTCCGTCCTTGGCTTGGAATGGTGGGATTGGGTCAGGTAGACAGACCTGTTAGTGGGAATGAGTTCATTCTAGTCCCTCACATACAGAATATTCTGAGTTGGAAGTGACCTGTAAGGATCATCAAGTCCAACTCTTAAGTGAATGTTCCATGTAGGGATCAAAGCCATGACCTTGGCATTATCTGCACCATGCTTTAACCAGCTGAACTTAAATCAAATAGTTCTAGTCTCCTCAGCAGCAAGGTGCAGATCTGCTACTAGAGACAAATCTTAAGCCTTTTGGTAAAGATGTTTTTGTTTGGTTTTGCACTGTTTCCTATTGAGAAGCCATGCCTTACTTTACTCGAAAGGAACAAAGAAATCAATGCCTGCTTTTAGTTTTGATGCAACATCCATTTCTGCCTTCAGGAGGTAGTTTTCTTGCCTGTGTTCACATAATGCCCCTACTTAAAGCATTTTTATTCTATGTGAAATAACAGTGTAATTTTGGGGTGTGTAGGTTCATTCTTTGTACTATTTACTAACTTGCTTTTTTCCTCCATTATTCATTCTAGATCAACCGAAGAGGAATGCCTCCCAAAGGGGGTGGAGAGATACTGTTTGCTTGCCCAGTGAGAAAGGTCTTGCAGCCTGTTCAGTTCACAGACCCTGGAAAAATCAAGCGCATCAGAGGAACTGCGTATCCTTTTTCTCTGTTTGTTTCTCTACTTTTAAAAGAGTTTGCTTATTAAAAAAAAAGTCACCTACCTTGGAAGTCACAGAAGTGCACCCATGTCTCTGAGCATATATCTGGGTAACACAGGCAAATATTACACAGCGGGGTCATACAGCTAGATTTCAGGGCTGTGTCTCAAAACTCCTGTGATCAAAACATTGCTGTTCAAAAAGCATCTGTGAGCAAATTCCAAACTGAACAGCACTATTTAAAATCTTTTCAATAGCAAGAAGAAGTTAAAATACCTTCCATCGCATAATCTAGGAGCACTAAAAGGTATCTTTGTGTGTAAATTCAGTAGTAACCAATGTAGTTTGGTTGTGCACTGAATAGGTGACATCTTGGCAGTTACTAGTTTAGCACAAGTTAGATGGGAGCTTAAATCTTAGTTCAGTTTACACCTTGCAGCACACAGTGAGCTTTTTGCTGTGTTTTGAAAGGAAGTACTTTGGCCCTTCACCTTTGGTAGTACTATTGCAGGTGGAAGTGGAGGAGGTTTTATTTCACAAGGAGATGAGGGCACAAAATACTATAGTGAACTTTTTCTAACAACTGCAAATCTAGTCAATGTTTTGGATTGCTTATTTCTTTTTAATTTTATTTTTCCCTTGTGGCTTTTATATGGTATATTTCATGAATCTGCTGTCATTGTAGGAAGAAGGTAGAAATTCCTTACATGAAACTGTCTTAAGCAGTGGCCAACATGTAGTTTGTGTTTGAGAGTCCCAAACATGATTTGGCATCGGTTACGCAAAAGGAAAGCAGGATCGAGGTCGTGTTTTCTGCCAGAGGTATAGATTTGCACCTGTTTCTTCTTTTACTTCATGGTATACTGTCACCACTGTGTGTGAGGACTGTATGTTTTGACTACCTTGTCCAGTTGCAGCATTTAGATAAGTGCAGTGTGCCAAGCAAGAGCAGTTTTACTGAATGCGTGTGCTGTGGAACAAAAAAGAGGCAGCTCATTGTGCTTTTGGTGATACTTGCTGTGGTACATTGATGGAGAAAGTAATTTTCTTATGCCTCCATTCTGCTCTGTAGTAAGTAGTTCTATATATTTCTGTGTGGAGGAGGAAGCAGTGATCATGACTTTACTTCCATTGTTCTAAATTGACATTAACATGCAGTACCATTCTGACCACTTTGACTGGTTTTGATTGATGTTTCTGGTTGAATTTTGAACTGCTACCTTGCCGTGGGCTTTCCTGGGCCTTTTCTCAGGGATATAGGTTTGCCTTTAAGCCTGGTGAGAGGCAGTCTCATTTTAGTTTGGCTTGTAAGTGGTCCTTCAAGGCAATGGAAAACAAAACATCTGGAAGGATGAGTCCTTATGTTTTTTTTTAAGTGTACTTTGTTCCTCCAAGATTCATCTGAGTAAATCTCCTCACAGCTGTGGAGATCATATTACAGCAGCCTTTTATATAATCCAAAATATTGAGTGCATCAACTGTGCAGAACAACCTGTTTTCTGATTATTTTTTAGTGATTTTTCCCTAAGATCCTAAAGTTTTTGGTTTGCCTGCTCCACAAGAGATGCTATAGAAATTTGTAGAAAAGGAAATTTCTCCCTGGCAGCTGGGAGTTTTGAGAGTGTGTTTTCCTGCATTTCTGTGTGAATGTATGTGCAGACGGGTGGTTAAATATGTAGAGCATGAGTCTGCATTATAGCTGGGCTGGAATTTAAAGTGTAATGTCCTTTGAAGATCTGTTGGGAATTTCTCTGAAGTAGCACCTGAGGTACAAGAGCAGAAAGTTTGCCTCTTACGTACTGTGAGGAGGTGGCTTGGGGTGGGTAGGAAGGTGGTAGGTTCTTTCCTGGAACCTTCAGATGCTGAGTGGCTAGAGAGCCAATGAATTTGATAGCCTCAGAACACTGCAAAATAGTTGGAGATAGCAAAGATATTTTTCTTAGAGCCTTTCAATTTTTTTTGTTGGAACATTTGTCTTTAATTTCTTCTTCATCTTCCCAATTTCTCCCTGACAGAAACAGGCAGGATTCTGTGTTGCTAATTCACAGAAACTTTACTCAGGATGATGTTTTAATAAAACATGAAGAGCAGAGCACATGGGACTTCCTCCATCATAAGAAAGTACAAGATGACAGAACAGCAATTTAAATGTGATGAGGGGCATTTTCAAGATAGATGTTTACCTAGCTATAACCTGTTCTTCAGCACGTGTTCTGTGTACTTCACTTCAAGGTATATCAATAAAAAGACTGCAGTAAGCACTTACGTGCATGTGGTTCTCTAGGTACAGGAGCATGGAGAGAAGCCCATGAATAGATGTATAAAACACACATTTTCTGAAATAATGCACTGGGGCCTCTTCACTTTTGTCAGTCTGTGCTTTCAATTTTTCTTGTGACCACACTGGATTTCTTAGCTCAGAAATGTAGATACTCTGTCCGAGTGTCACCACAGATGGCAAACAGAATGGTGGAATCTGCAAGGGGCATCCTGAATAAATTCCTCCCGGACATCTATATCTACACAGATCATATGAAGGGGGTCAGCTCTGGAAAGTGAGTATCCAGAATTTACAGGAAACATAGGTGTAATTCTGCATTTGTTCATCTGCTAGGGTGTCCTGATCTAATTTTACTGAGTTTTAGATTACAATCTTCTATTTTGTTGATTTTAAATAAATATTTCTCACAAAGAAAGAAAGAAAGAAAGGGTGATTTACTAGATACATTTGTTTTACTTACATGAAAGGGATAGAAGTGTGTTTTCCTAAACAAGAAGTGCAGTACATCATTGCATTACGTTACACTGTCACTAAAGTCAATTTGAGCTCCCTTTGTTTTTAAATCTGTTGCTTTGAAGAGAGATTAAGATCAAAGGTGTCATGGTATGTTCAGGAAACCAAGATTCAAAGTTGACTGTACGCTTTGATGGAAATGGTAATATTAAGGATGGGACCGAGGTGTTTTGAGGAAGTGTTAAAGCAGTACGGGTTGTCTTCTGCTGAATGGCTGGAGGAGTGTCTCTCATTAGTGAGGACTGGAAAATTAATTTATTGTACTTCCACAGATTTTATTTGCTGGCAGGACACAGAAGTAGTGGATGTGATTCAGATAATTTTGCTGGTATCTGTCATTTCTGTTGTCCTCTTACTACTCTTCCTTGAGGTTGAAAGATTCTGGGTAACTCATTTTTTTGTCTTCTGTCTGTATGCTCAAATGCAGGCATGCATGTTTTCTTCCACTGTTTCTGCTTTTTGAAATATTTCCTTAAAATTCGTTAGATTCAAAAGTTTATGAATCTAGAAATTATTGAATAATTCTCTAGCATTTTTTTTCTTTTCCAATCCTTCATCATATATAATATGCCAGGTTTGTAACTTTAATGGCTCTAGACTGTTTACAGGATCAGAATTGCAAAAATTTTTCTGGGAGCTGTGTGGTTATTGGGTCTTGATTTTGTTTCTCATCTGTTTATGATATTTAAAAAGTCAAATGAATTGGGGCAGCAACATTATTTTTACTACATATAGCTCATGCAGAGGGATAAACAATAGCATGGGAAGAGGAACTGAATCCCTTTCAACCTGGCTGGCTGGGTTTCTGATGCTACTGTGTTGTAGACACATTAATATTAAGTATGAGTCCAGTATGATAGCAGTATTCTTGATACTAATTAGTCTAATCTTGCTAAATGCTGCAGCTTCCAGGGAAAAGAGCTGAAGTCTTAAAGAAGGATAGTTTTGGTTTTGAATGTCACAGAGAAGAGACACCAGATACCATTGAAATGTTTATCAAATACAGACTAAATAAATGTGAAATATATCCTCCTCTATTTAAAAAACAAAAAACCAAAAAAACAAAAAACCAAACACTTCCAAGGTTTGTATGGCTTTTTATTTTATTTTAAATTCTTCCTGTTTAAAGAGTATGGAAAAGTCAGCACAGAGGGTTTTGTGGCAAGTGGTACTGGATTTGACTTTCAAGTACTGTTGTTAATTTTCTTTTTCCAGCGTCAGTCTATTGTATCAAACAGGACACTTGTCATCCTGTATGAGGAGCTGTTTATAACTTGAAGTTCTTGGCTCATTACTCCAGTTTTGTCCTTAAATGAAATGTACTTTTTCCCTTTCTTTCAGATCACCAGGTTTTGGCATGTGCCTTACTGCAGAAACCATCAATGGCGCTATTCTCAGTGCTGAGCTAGCCTCAAACCCTCAGGGCCAGGGAGCAGCTGTGCTTCCTGAGGAACTGGGCCAGAGTTGTGCTAAGCTGCTGCTTGAGGAGGTCTACAGAGTAAGTGGCCAATATATTTTGTATGTGTGTGTATAGATGTAAGGGAAGGAGGTGATAAAATAGGTAAAGGGATAGGTGGTTTTGGGGCACCCTCAGACAGGCTCAGATCCAAACAGAAATGATCTGATGCTTCCAGTGTCTTTTTCATCCTGGTAAAGAGTGGTTTTGCATGATTCCTTTTACAGTGTAATGACCTACTGGGTCATGTTTTTTGCAATGTCTTATATGTGTTATTATGAATCACAGGAGTGGCAAATTCTTCTTCCGTTACTTTCTGTCTGCAGCAGAATTCAGTTAGCCTCACATAGAATGTTAGTTTTTTTAATAATATGGATGGGAAATATTATATTTTAATTATATATGCAGTGCTTCTAAACTAGTGGTTGGAATGGGACATTATGAGTGGAAGAACATAGGAAGGGGCAGAAGGAGAAAAAAGCCTGGCAAGGCTCCATCCATGTTGGTGACTTTGTGATGCTGAGTCAGATGTGTTGAGAATTGTTGGTTGTTTGAAGAATTGTCTTAGTGGGTTGTTGGAAGGGAGCTAGGATGTCATTTACGTAGGAATCCTAAATGCATCACAGTTTTCTTCATCAGAGACCTTTTTCTTTATTAAAATGGTTTTCATTTGTGGCATGAATTTTAGTGGATGAGCAGCTTTCAGTGTTAAAAATGATTTGGCAAATAGCACCCTGATAAGTTTCTGATTTAATAAATAACCTTCCAGCTGCTTTGCTTTGTATCTCCACAGATGTTTAAATAATTATGTTTTAGTATTGATAAAACACATTTGGCCTTTAGGAGGCAGTCATCTACAAATTTTGCTTGTTATTTAAAACAACAAGTAGTTAATCTGAACTGTAATAACCTGTGTGACTTGGCAAAGTGTTAAAACTGGCATTATTGAGATTCTGTATTAGGGAATGTAGCTAAATATCAAAAAGCCCCTCAACCTCATAAATCACATATATACCTGTGTTAGATTGTTAATCTCTGCCTCTATTATTTTTTCCTTTCCCTGTTGCAAATCTTCCACGTGTTTGAATTACGAGTTGGCCACTTTTTCCAGTCTTCCATTAATATTTTATCTTTGTTTATTCAGTATATAAGTGGTGTTGCTAAAGGACTTTTCTAGCCCAGGTTTCTTGTCTCAGGGAAATGCCACAACCAAAATGTTCTTCCTGGGTACAATCTAGACTCCTTGTATTTGAAAGTCGAGCATGCATGGAGAATGTAGTCACAACTAGTGACTGAAATATGTCTGTTTCTGCAATTATGTAGTGTCATGTAGTAATTTTTATTTCAGGTGTAAACTGTAAACATCTTTTGGTACACTTGTTTGTGTAAATGTCTTGGAAAACATCTTCAGGTAGTCAGATGTCCAGAGGCATCAAAAATCCAGTTTCCACATACTTTTATCAGCAACAATAGGGTTTTTTTTTTCTTTGAAACCATTTGCACTTGACAGATTAAAACTAGTTGAAACTAGTGCAGAAATTTGTCCAGATATTATGTTTTGCACAGGGTCAGATGTCAGAGAACTTATGAAATGAAGGGGTCTGGAAAGGCCTAAAGCAAGTAACTTTTTGCTTCAGTGTATGCAGTCATTTGAATATGAAGAGTCAAATTCTGTAACAGTGAGAATCTTAAGACAACAGGAGAAACATTTTGAGGAGGAAGCAGGGTCAAACAAGTTTTTGAATCATAATGTAACAGGCTGTCAGGTTTCAGTGTCTTTGAAGATCAGATTTTGAGTTAGTGAGGTTGTTAGCTTTGGCTTTCTATAGTACTGCTGGTGCTCCTGGAATACTCCTTTGTGTATGGGTGATTTCTGTCCAAGAGTCACTGAGAAAGGCTGAGCAGTGTACAGACTATTTGTCCTTCACTACAGCAGCGCGCTCTGGAAAAGTTCTATTTTGTTGGCATTTTTGGCTGTTGTGCTACTTTTTCACTGCAGTGCTTAGCCGTTATTTAGTGAATTCCCCCTCTCCCTCCATCATGGGCAATATGATGGATTTTGTTACGTAGTTTTCACAATAAATACTAGACTTTATGTATGACACGCATGGTCCTACAATGCTAGCCTGAATTTTGAAAGATAAGATTTCTTTCTCATTTTCTTTCTTTTGTATTTTTTGGGGGTTAGTTAGTATTTTGTTTTGGAATGGGCTTTTTTAGGGTGTTTGGTTTTTGGACACTTTTTGTTTGGGGTGGAGTTTTTTGTTTGTTTGGTATTTTCAGGATTTTTTTGTTAGGTCACTTTGATTTAGTGTTGAACAGAGATGATGAAAAAACACGTTGCAAAGTGCAGTATTTGTTTAGGTGAAATATAGTATTTTTTATGTTTATTTGATTATGTAAGATTTTTAGTGAAACTAAAAATCTGAAAAAGCAAGAACGGATTGCTCTGAGCAGGTAATCTTTAAGTCCCACATCTTTTTACAACACCTACTTGTTGAATACAGGGCTCAAGGGAGAATTTATTTTCCTGTTTTTAGAGGTTCTTTTTATGAGATTATTTCATCATCTGTGTTTTTGCCAGTAGGTACTATGTTATGTGGGAGATGGGGAGGTTGGCCAGACAAGGGCACCCTGAGAGCACTGGAGACAATTGTCTGTAAAATGGCTTTAGGTGTTGGGTTCACCCAAAAATCTGCTGGAGTAGGAGTTGCTGTTGAAAGGGGTCCAAGGACATTTTGTAAAGTGCTTGCTATTGTGTAAACTTTACCATCTAGGAAATCAAAGGATTTGAGTCTTTCTAAATGTCATTTTACTAAGCCTTCAAAACTATACTAAACAGATTGTATGATTCTTGGAATCAGCAGAGCTCTTTTAATAAACATTTGTTGATGGAAAGATGTCAGAGCTAGTTGACTAATAAGTTGCACAGGGCCTTAATTGCAGTGGCTCTGCAAGAGGGGGCAGTGGAGTGACTGACTAGTGTTGTCATTACAAATCCATATGCAGTTCTTTCTGAAGCTTAATTGTAGAAGGCCAGTAAGGATTTTAACTCTTGTCTTTCAAAGACATTGTTTATGGGAGATTTATGTAGAGGCTAATTGGCAGAATGGAAAGGCCTGGAAGAACTGGAAAAGGATTTAATTTTTATATTCTTTGTAAACATGAAAAATAGGGGAGTACATGTACCTATTTAAGGCTGAATTCTTTAATGAAGAAAGGCCGAGTTGCTAGGGGACCTTGAAGGGGCATGAAGGCTAAAGCTGTTTGTTTTATTGAGCGAGAGCTAAAATGACTGAAGGATTTAGTTGATGGCTCAATTTTCAAGATGGTCTTACCTCAGTGTGGTAAGGCTTTGTTTCTTTCTTCTGGAAGAAGAACCCAAATCCAAAAAACCAAAATACAAACCCTCTGCAACAATTTGTTACCCTTCACATAACAAATTATTGAGTCCTGCAAATATGTACTACACAGGTAAGGGAAGAAATTGTGTTTATGACAAAATATAACTAACACTCAGTCAAAGCTGAGCTGAAGCTCAGAGAAATAAACCTTTTTGAAACACTGTTGTCCAGTACACAGGGTTGTGATATTTGTATGTACATGTCAACTGTAGTATTTGTATAGCATTTAAAAATAGATGGGATTTTAAATGATCTGTGTCTAATTGTCACAGCTAGCTGGATCTAGCTCTGTAGTCAGTGTAAACAATAATGGAGAAACTGCCATAGACTTAAGTTATTACAGTCTAGAAGCTGCATTCTACATTGGTAATGAGTGCCAGCTATTTTGGAACAAATGTACCTTGGCTCTGACTTTGCCCATCCCATTTCTTTTGGGAGGGTTGTTTTTAATTTTTGACTCTTGAGTAAGTGTCAGGTGGCTTGATAATAAAAAAACTTGGTCGGCCTTCTTGGGAGTTTTAAGTCCTTCACTTGACAGAAGTTACTGTTCAGTCATTAGATTACAAGCAGTCACTTAATGTCACCGTCTGGGGACTGCATTTGTAGGAATGGTGTTGCAAATGAGTGGTTTAGATCACTTAAATCACTGAAAAAGTATAATCAAAAGCAACTTTTTGTATAAAATTGTTAATGTGCAATGAAGTTTGATGGCAAGGTTACTATTGCGTATTACATAGATGAGGCACACAAAGAAAAATCAGCTTAGAATGAATGTACAATGATTTATGCAGAGAAAGGGAATGCAAAAAGGGTAAGGATGGAAAAGGATAAGAATGCAAAAGGGTAAGGGAGGTCCTTCCTTTGGGTTACAAAAGTGGACCCCTTGCAAAATGTAGCCGCAGACTTGATCAACAATTTGTCTAAAGAATGTAGCAGCATTTAATCATTGACTGCTGGAATGCTGACAGAATCAAATACTTCTATAAAGTCTATGTGCACTAGTGTGGGAAACAAACAAGATAAGCTAAAGACCTACATGCAGTCCCAGGGCTTTTATCTTATTGTAGTGACAGAGACATGGTGGGATAATTCATGTGAGTGGAATGTTGGCATAAAGGGCTACACCCTGTTCAGGAGAGACAGACCAGGAAGGCGGAGTGACAGAGTTTGCCCTCTGTGTGAGGCAGCACCTGGAACGTATTGAGTTCTGTCTTGGGTGTGGATGGTGAGCTTATGGGTCAGGATAAAAGGGCAGACTAAGAGTGACACTGTTGTGGGTGTTTGCTGCCTGATCAGGAGGAAGAAGCAAATTAGGTCATCTACAGGCAGCATGAAGCAGCCTCAAAGTCACAGGCCCTGGTTCTTTTGGGAGCCTTTAAGTACCCTGCCATCTACTGCAGAACCAGCACAGTGAAACACAAACAGCCCAGGAGGTTCCTGGAAAGCACAGATAACCATTTCCTGACACAGGTAGTGGAGGATCCCACGGGGATCACAGGGTGCTGCTCAACTGATGCTAACAAACGGGGAAGGCCTTGCTGGAGGTGTGGCCATGAGAGTGTGGAATTCAGTACTGGATGAGGAGAAAGCAGGGCAGCAAGTAAGTTTACAGCCACAGACTTCAGGAGAGCTAGCTTTAGCTTCTACAGGGATACTTTGTCGCTCTATTGGGAACGGTGAGAAGAACGACACAGACTCTCTTGTGGAGTCAAACTGGAGAATTTCTCTCTGTTTATTACCTCAGATCTTTTTTATAGACCGATACGTCAAAGTACAGAAAAGAAAACTTATTGGTTAGTAAACTAACACATCACCATCATTGGTCAGTGGGGTACACCGCCCCTCGACCTTCTCTTGCAAGAAGACAAGGAACAGGCAAACAGCACCTGCAACGCTGTTTTCTATCTCTGAGGATTGTTTTAATTCCTCCTTATGATTTCTCAGGCCACTTTCTCAGGCAAGACTGAGAAAGTTATGTGGCCTGCTGTTCCACCGGCACCGTTCTCCCTGCTTCACAGTTAGCATCCATATATCTTCATGAAAAATGCCATGGGAACAAGCCCCACAGGGTCCAGGAGACTCTGAGAGGACCAAGAGAGTTGGTTGATGTTCGAGGATCACTTCCTTCAGGCTCAAGAACAATGCTTCCAAATGTGCAAGAAATTGGGCAAAGGGGAAGAGATCTGATGGATAAATAAAGAACTTCTCTCAATATCAAAGGTAAGCAGGAAATACACAGGAACTGGGAGCAGGGTCAAATCACTTGGAATAAATATATAGAGGTTGTCAGGGTATGTAGAAAAGAGACAAGGAAGGCCAAGGTCCACCTGGAATTAAGTCTGACAAAGAATGTCAAGGACAGCAAGAAAGGCTTTTTCAAATACATCAGTAACAAAAGGGAAAAGGATAATAAGGGCCTGACACTAAATGGAAGTGGGACCCTGTTAACAGAGGACACAGAGGAGGCAGAGTGAGTGAATGCTCCCTTTGCATCGTCATCACTGACAAGACCAGGCCTCAGGGATCTCTGACCCAGGAGACGAGGGAGAAGGAGGGCTTGAAGGAAGGCTTTCCCTTGCTCAAGAAGGACTGAGCTGGAGTCAGGCAAACCTGGCATCCACAAGTCCATGGGCCCTGATGGGATGCACCCATGAGTGCTGAGAGAGCTGATGGACACCAGAGACAGGCAATTTACAAGCATCTTTGATCAAGAGAAGTACCTGAGGACCAGAAGAAAGCAAATGTCACTCCAGTCTTGAAAAAGGGCAAAGGAGGATGACCCAAAAAACTAGCAGCCAGTCAGCTTGATATCAATCATTGGGAAGGTGATTCTGGAGGCCATTTCTATCTACATGAAGGACAAGAAAGTGAACAGGAGTAGTCAGCATGGATTCATTAGAGGTAAATCGTACTTGACTGACCTGCTTCCCTTCTATAATGAAACAACTGGATGGATGAATGGATGGAAAGCAGTGGATATTGTCTTTCTTGACTTCAGCAAGGCTTTTGACACTGTCTATCGCAACATCCTCATAGGCAAACTCAGCAAGTGTGGATTAGAGGAGTGGACAGTGAGGTGGATTGAGATCCGGCTGAATGGGAGATCCCAGAGGTTGTAATCAGTAACACAGGGTCTGGCTGGAGGCCTGTCACTAGTGGTGTCCCCAAAGGTTAAATACTGGGCCCAATATTGTTTAACTTCTCCACTAATAGCTTGAACAAATGCACAGATGTCTTCTCAGTGAGTGCACTAATGACACAAAGCTGGGAGGAGTGGCCAATACCCCAGGAGGCTGTGCAGACCTTCAGAGGGACCACAACAGGGTGGAGATGAGCAGAGAAGAACCTCCTGAAATTCAGCAAAGGCAAATGCAGTGGGCCTGCACGTGGGGAAGAATAACCCTGGGCATGAGCAGAGGCTGGGAACTGACCCACTGGGGAATAGCTCTGTGTATCCTGATGGGCAGTGAGTCAGCAGTGTGTCCTGGTGGCCAAGAAGGCAAATGATATCCTGGGGTGCATTAGGAAGAGCACTGACAGCTATTGGAGGGAAGTGATCCTGCCCTTGTACTCAGCCCTGGTGAGGCCACATATGGAGTGCTGTGTCCAGTTCTCAGCATGAGAGACAAGGTGCCCCTGGATGAAGTCCAGAGGAGATGACAAAGATTATGAAAGGACTGGAGCATCTCTGTTACGAGGAAAGGCCAAGAGAGCTGCATCTGTTTGGTGTTGAGAAGAGACGACTGAGAAGAGACGACCTTATCAATATATCCCTGGAGGGAGGGTGCCAGGAAGATGGATCCAAGCTCTTGGTGGTGCCAGACAATAGGGCAAGAGACAACAGACAGAAACTGATGCATAGGAAGTTCTACCTGAATACAAGGAAGATATTTTTACATATCCTTTACCGAGCAGGTGGTTGTACATTTGAACAGGTTGCCCAGAGAGATTGTGGAGTCTCACTCACTGGAGATACCCAAGAACTGTCTGGATGAAATCCTGTGCCATGTACTCAATTAAGAGATGGCAACAAGTACTATGCTTGCTGTAGTGTATTTAAATCAATTCATACATGCACACACGTAGATATAAAGATGTATATAAGTTTAGTAAAATGTGTCAGATGGCTTTGTACCTGTCAACACGTGAAGGGTTAAGCTTTGAGGGTTGAGTGTATCAGCCCAGGCCCTGTCAACAGCTTTTGGTGATTGTTCTCCAAGTACTGCAGACTTGACGGTTGTTGAGCTTCAAGAGGTGTACCACTTAGAGGGAGGTGCTGCTGCAACTTGCTGAGGCCTTGAAGAACTCAAAGACCCTCACGTAGTACTGCTGCCTATAGCGTTGTGAGATGCTTGGCTTTAGCCTTCTGTCATTCTCTGTTCTGGCCACAGTCTGGGTCAGTTGTTACTGGAATTTTCATCAAAAAGTGCAGTAACAATAGTATTGTTCCACCTGGGCTAGGATTTAGACAAAAATAATGTTCCAAGGCTGTCCATTGGAAAACAGCAGTTTGTTAGGCAGTTCCTAGGAACAGACTCTTTCTGTTTTAAGGATTATTTAAATGTTTAAGGATAATTTAAAAAGGAACTTAACTGCCCAGGAACCATTAACCAATGTCAGTGTCTAATAAGAATTCCTGAGGAGATTGTAGAGTGGCCCAAGGGGACGGGGAATGGGGGTGGGGAATGTACCACCACAAATGGGCATAACAGATTGCTACTGCACAGCAGTACTGGGGGTGACTGACTCGCTGCAGAGAGAGAGCTTATGTAAGCAGTTAGGACATGATGGATGCAGTGTGTTTTGATATATTTCTTAGGACATGGTTATCTCCATGCTGACTGAAGCTTTTGTATGAATTTGGTTATAAAAGTAGATACTTCGTAATATTTTCAGCTGTAGAGAAACAAAACAGGCCCAGAGAATGTGAAGCTTTCATCCAAGTAATAAGAAGCATTTTGAATTACTAACTAAACTATAACTACAGAAAGTCCACTGTCAGGAATACTCCTTACCAAACCCTTATCTGCTTCTTGTATGTATTTTCTCTTTGGCAAATAAAACTGGTGAGATCTGTGGCTCTAGACTACACCTGCAAATTCTGCAAGTACCCTGTTCACTCAAGATAAAGCACAATTTTTATCGATCCTATAGGTTTGAGTATGTGAACTTCATTTTGGTATGGCAAGTTCACACCATTAAAAGGGCAAGTACTGCTGTAAGAGCATGTTTTAGGAATTGGGTCATGGTATTGAATGTAATAGAGCTGCTTATTTTGCTGTGCAATAGTTAATTGCATGAAATGCAGATTTTTTTTTCAGAAGAATGGAGCTGAGGCTTGTCACACAGAAGCAAGGCCATCCTGAAAATTAAATCTTCAGAATCCTCTCTTGGAAAGGCTCTCCCTTTCGGCCTCTCACTGACTAAATGTGTTGAGGTTGTCACACTGTCTGATTCTCTTAATCTATGTAGTCCGAAATTTATTTTTTCTTTTGCCTTCTTGGATAGTGTTATATCTTGAAATTATGATAGGTTACCTTCTTTGTCAACAAAGGTAGCTGTCAGTTTACCTCATTAGAGGATTTGGTTCTAAAAATAAGAGCTTTTAGTTTCAGCCTCTCCTAAGAGCCTATTCAAAGGATGTAGCATTAGGCCTGATGCAGCAGAACACTGTTCATAGATTTCATATGGCTGTGGATCAGTATGAATATAAGAACAGTCCAAAATAATGACAGATTTTTTTCTATTTTCAGTGGTTTTGCATAGCAGTAGTTGGTAAATTATCTCTACAGCAGCCTTGACTGAAAATATCCCTTTAAATTTATCTATCAGCTTTGTAAGCAATTCTTATTTCTAATTCTAGCCTTCCAGTTCTAATTAATGTATGCATCATAGTAAACACCTTCCACATACAGAAAAATTTACATTGCATATGACTTACTACAGTCAAATATGTACAAGAGTACATGTGGTTCTACTTAATTTTATGTGTGGCTCTTTCACTTAGCAATTAAAAAAAAAGTTCAAATTTAATTATGGAGGGGAAATGTTTTACAAGTCTAAGCCCCCAAAAGTTGGCAGCAAGGGGTTTTGTGGATAAGTGCTAAATATCTTTTAACTTTCTGTTTTGTATCTGCTAAAACTGAACTGTTTGTCCAAATGTAACTATTGTTATCGTAAAGAGCTGGAATTCATGGATCTTCAGACACATGTGAACTAGAACTAATACTTCTTTTCGATTTACTGCAAAGAAATTCTTCTGTGTTTACATTCTGGGATGTTAGAATAGGAGGGATGTTTAATGTCACCTTCTTATGGGTTTTGATTTAGTTCTGGTCTTGTCCCAGCCTGCCGTGTGAACTTAATTTGTTGTTGTTAAAAAAATCTAGATTTTTTTCTTCTTGTCCCTTAAAAATTGGGAGTGGTATTTCAGCCTTTTAAGTGTATCTTTTGCCTTTGTTACTCTCCTCCCATCCCAATTTCTGGTTTGTACAAAGATTAATTATTAAAACATTTTGGTTTGCAGGGAGGCTGTGTAGATTCAACAAATCAAAGCCTTGCTCTGCTCCTTATGACACTTGGACAGCGTGATGTTTCCAAAGTCCTGTTGGGACCTCTGTCACCATACACGTAAGTTGTTTTGTTCAGTTCAATTACACAGCTTTGTTTTAATTCACTAGTCTTATTGCACAGCTATTTTTATATATGTAAGATTTTGCCTGTGGTAACAAATAGAATAACTAGTACCTGACTTCAAATGAGACAAGTGGTGTAAGTTGCCTAGAGTTTGTTTCTACATGTTAGATGAGTTCCTTACTGTTCTCTATTATTCCTGTTTCTGGGAATTGCAGAGACAGGGTTTATTGATGGTTCTTTACCTGGAATGTATGTGTACATCAGTTGGCTTTTTGTTGCCTAGGGTACACTACTATTTTTTCCCTAGTGATCTCTCTGTAGCTGTATCATTAAATGTCATATTTCATATGGCTAGCCAAACTCTAAGGCTGCTATTTTTCCTATGAAACAGCTTAAGACTTCAATTCATGGAGCTATTTCAAGGTTTTATTGGACAGCAGAATCCTATATGGTCCTTCAGTCTCAGTTTTTACTAAAGCTTTGTCTGTAGCTGATAGTTGTTCAGAGGATAGGAAAAAAATTAATTTCTTATATTGCTAGTTGTAACACAGGTTACAGAATCACAGAATCATCAAGGTTGGAAAATACGTCTAAGATCATCAAGTCCAACTTTTGACTGAACACTATTTCTTAAATAGACTGTAGTGCTAGGTCTGGTTGTTTCTTCAACATTTCCACAGATTGTGACTCCTTCAGCACCATGGGTGACTCATTTCAATTTTTAACAACCCTTGCAGTGAAAAAACTTTTCCTGATATCCAATCTTAACCGTCGGTGGTGCAGCTTGTGGCCATTTCCTCTAATCCTGTCAGTTGTTGCCTGGGAGAAGAGACCAAACCCTCACCTAGCTACACCCTCCTTTCAGGCAGTTGTGTCTCCCCAGTTGTGTCTCAGTTACAGAGTACCAGTGTCTCCCCTGAGCCACCTTTTCTTCAGGCTAAACACCCCCAGCTCCCTCAGCTGCTCCTCATAGGACTGGTGTTTCAGACCCTTCACCAGCTCCATTACCTTTCTCTGGTCTCCCTCCAGCACCTTGGTGTCTTTCTTGGAGTAAGGGGCCCAAAACAACACACAATTCAAGGTGTGGCCTCCCCAGCCCTGAGTACAGGGGACAATCCCTGCCTTGCTCCTGTTGGCCACACTATTGCTGGCACAGGCCAGGATGCCATTGGCCTCCTTGGCCACCTGGGCACTGCTGGCTCCTGTTCAGCTGCTGTCACCAGCACCCCCAGGGCCTTTTCCTCTGGGCAGCTTTCCAGCCACTCTGCCCCAGCCTGTGGCACTGCCTGGGGCTGTTGTGACCCAAGGGCAGGACCCAGCTCTGGGCCTTGTTGAACCTCACAGCACGGCCTTGGCCCATGATCCAGCCTGTCCAGATCCCTCTGCAGAGCCTGCCTGCCCTCCAGCAGATCAACACTCCCACACAGCTTGGTGTCATCTGCAAACTGGCTGAGGCTTCACTCAATCTCCCCATCCAGAACTGGCCCCAGTACTGAGCCCTGGGGAGCACCACCGGTGACCGGCCACCAGCTGCATTTGACTCCATCTACCACCAATCACTGGGCCCAGCCATACAGAGGGTTTTTTAGGATAGAGGATACCCATCCAAGCCATGGGCTATTACTGTAGTTCCCTGGGTCTTCTTTCTGACCCTGCTGGTATGAGCATCACACTGGACAACTTCCAGTCCTCTGGGACCTGCTCAGTTAGCCAGGACTGATGCTACGTGATGGAGAGCAGCTTGCTGAGCGCTTCTGCCAGCTTCCTCAGTACCCTTGAATGAATCCCATCCAATCCCATAGACATCTGAGTGTCTAAATGGCTCAGTACTTCATGTACTGCAGAAGATCTATTCTGCTCCCTGACCCCAGCTCAGGGGGCTGGTGGCCCTGAGGACAAGAGTCTTACCATTAAAGTACCTCAGTCTTTTCCTCATCCTTGGTGATGATGTTCCTCTCTGCATTCAGTAAAGCATGGAGATTTTCCTTGGCCTTCCTTAAGCTTTTAATGTATATATAAAAACACTTTTTATTATCTTTCACAGCAGTGGCCAAATTGAATTCTAGGAGAAACTTGTTAGGGAAACAGCATCCATTATCAAAACTTTAATTTTTCAGACTTTCAAGGGATTTACTAAATCACAGGGTTTTTTTCTAGAGACTGAGCAGTTATTCTTTAGTCAAATGAAGGGAGGTCTGTTTATCTGACAATGGCATCAAATAGTAAGAGCATGAACTGTCCTTTTTCGGTTATCATGGTACCGGTGCTGTATACGTGAAAGGTACAGTACTGTGATAACTGAAGAATGGTGGTGCCATCACATGAGAGCTAAAAGTTACCTAACTGCTCCTCTCAACTCCTGATACCTTGGAAACAACATTCATCAGATTTTGAGGGAAGACAGGGAAGTGTCCCATTGCACAAAAGGGAAGTAATCCCCTGTAAAGTAAGTATTCATGTGGAAGGTTTCAGAAGAGTAGATATTAGTGTTTGAAGTGCACAGTTAAGTATATGAGACAGTCCAATCAGTTGTCATTGTGAGTATTTTTTAATTTTTACCCTTATTTTGTTCTGCAAAAATCAAGAAAATGCACTAGTTTATTTTGTAAGCAGGCTGAGTTCAAGTTGGTGGGTTGTCACTTCCAAGCTAGGTGTATTCAGCAGGGATAAAGGTCAGAAGTACACATACAGAAGCAGTACATCATAAAATCTATGATTCTGTGAGAATCTGTGATTCATCAGTCCTGTGAGGATCTGTTCAGATAGAATGCAGCTTTTTATACAGCACCCGCATGCCCTCAACTAAGACTGCTTATAAGGGACTAGTAAATTTGGCTCCAAAGCAACTCATTGGATACACAAGCTTATGAAGTAAATTTTCGTATTGCCATGTTCCGTGTCCTTGTTCCTTCTTTTCTCTCAGCTGAGACATTTAACACTTTCACCCTACAGAATCTGAAGTTATTTAAAAGCTATGTTATGCTAGATTTTCTTCTCTGTCCAGCATAAAACAGCATGAATGTGGCAGTTCAGCTGGCTGCTGAGAGCATCACATGGGGACAAAATGCTTTGGAATATGTCCATTAGAATGAGGAACTTTCTTATTTTCACGGGAGATATCCACTGCCTCAACTAACAATGAGGAGTGGAAGGGCAGACAACACCATGAGCAGCACCAAGGCAACACCAAGACAGCAGGGCTGTGTTGAGTGGCAATGGGGCTACCAGTCTGCATGACCATAAGCTGTCTGCATTACCACTTTCTTAGCATCCATATTTCACAGAAGCAAGTGCCTTTCTGTCAAGTTGAGCTTAAAATCAAGTGCAGGGTGCTGGCCATGCCACTAACTCACAGAGGTCAGTCTGACAGGACAGACCTGTCTGCAGGCAGGTGGATCAGCATGAACCAGTGTTATTTGAAGAACAGGAAAGCCTGAGTGCCCCAATCCATGGCTTTGCAACGGTTTAGGGGCTTCAGGAGGTGGGGTTAGGATGCCTCTGCCTCTGTCAGCCAAGCTGACACTTTAAGTTTCTCCTCTGACGATGATGCCCATCCCCAGCTCCTCAGTCTGTCTCCTTCTGGGAAGGTGTAGTAGCTTAGATTCACCAATTTGAGATTTCCCAGCCATGGAAATGCATCAATATGCATTTGATGCAATGCATCAAATAACATGGTGGGTTTTAGCACTAGCTAAAAATCACCAGAGTACTTACTCATTCCTTGCTGTGAGATGTGGATTAGGAGAAGGGCAAAACAGGCTTAAAACTTAAAAGGAATAAAGAAACTTTATTAACAGGACTACAAGAATAAGAAACCAGAATAAAACTTCCCAAAACACTTCCCCCCCCCCCCCCCAACCTTTTTCCTTTCTCAGCTGATACCGTAGAGACAAAACCTGGGATGTTAAAGCAGAACCAGCTATACAATAGTCTTTTTCATCAGTCTCTGAAGGGAGAGGAGTTTCCTCTTGTCATTCCATGGAGAGTTCTCCACAAGAAAACAGTTTTCTCATGGCTTTTCATTTCTATGATTGGTAGCCACCTGGGAAAAAACTCTGCCATCATGCCTTCCTCCCATTTTCATTACACTTAGAGGTGTGTGTGTTCATGGGCCATGAACTCAAGGGGTATTATTTTGAGTTATTCAAAGGCAAAGGTTCTTTTCACCTGTCTCTGTGATCATCTCTGGGAACAGAGGTTTTTCTTCTTCTCTCCCTTGGGGCAAAGGGTCTTCATCGGCTCTCACTTCTCTTTCTCTCTGTTCAAGCATCTCCTGGGATCACAGTTACTCCACCATCTGCTTAGCTTCATCGATGGATACCTCTGCTCAGATCTCCAATTTGAATTCTTCATCCCCCCAATACTCATTCATTAATTAAAGGAGTTTTTCAGAACATTATTGTCTCTCTCCATGGCCCTACCAAAAGAGTATTTCAGCTTATTAAAGCATCTCCTCATTCTCCTTCCATCTGAGGCTTGACTCTTTCTCTTACTGACTTGATGTTTCATGTTGTCTTTTACGTGTCAATCACTCCCACTTTCCTCTCTCTGGAGAGGAGATTAAAGTCTCTAGGTCTCATCTGTGTAGTGAAAGGGTTGAATCTGGCCCAAGCCTCGGCCGGGTATTCATGGTGTCGGATTTCAAACTGCTTTGGTGTCTCTTTAGCCCAGAGCGAATGGTCCTTGGCCTGGAGCTCTCTGTGCGGGCCATGGGGGGAAATATCGGTGAGATGTCAGGAGCTGTGGCCTGGCCCAGCCTAGGGCTGGGGGCCCCCTGGGAAGGGCTTCAGCCACCCCACTGGAATGGGACCTGGAGGGTTTCCCGGGAGGGGCTGCAGCAGAGCCTGGCCCAGCCTGGGGCCGGGGGGAAGCCCCGCAGCCTCCATCCCCTGCCCAGGAGCTGCTGCCCAGCCTGCACCGGGCTGCAGAGGCCATGGGAGAGCAGGGCCAGCCACACTAGAGTGCCGATACCTTTGAAGGCCAGAAAGAAAGAGATAAGCAGTTCCCAGGCTTTTTAAAAGGTGGTATTCACAAAGGTGATCTCACGTTTCAGTGGTTAAAAATGCTGTCAATTCTGAGAACTGCCCAGCTACTGGCCTGATCTCAAATAGAGAAGAAGCTCCCAGCAGCCTCTCTCAGATAAATCACTTCAGTTGGTGTTTTCCACTTTGTTTTTCTAAATGCCAAACTACCACAGAAGGTCTCTGGCAGGACTCAGGAGAGCAGTCCTGGGGCTGCCAGTACTACCAGGCAAAGCCCTGCGCAGGCCCCAGGGCAGCTGAACCAAGAATGTGCTGCTGGTGCACAGGTCTTCTCTCACACTGGTCTGTTAGTTGTTTGCTTTGCCCAATGTGTGAAGTTCTTGTGTGCTTTTTGGTAATTCTTAGCAGGCTTTGGGGAAAAGACAGCGCTTAGATAAACAGGCCTTTTACTCTTGTTGTTGGCTGTAAGGCCTCCAGTGTGGTTCACGTAGTTGTCCCTGCACCTAAGGAGTAGTTCTGTTCAGTTGCTGCCTTGTTCTTGCCTGAACACACAGTGTAAATTTTCAGCAAAATAAACCTCTGTACCTTTCACCCCCTCCCTCAGTCCTCCAGCCTGTGCCTGTGTGGTTGGTGCAGCCTGCACTCTTACTGGAGGTGCCCACCCGTGACCCAGACCAACCTCAGAGCTATTACAAGCTTGCTTTCTCTCACATACCCCTACCTTCCTGCCTCTTTCTCTTCTATTTTCAGGGCTCACACCATTTGTGCTTCCACTGCTACAAGACAAAGCTGGCCTTTTGCTGCTTCTACATTCTCCCTTGATGTCCCAAGGCAGCCTGCCCCTTGTTTGCACTCCAGTGAGCCTTTCTCATGTACATGAGGGCTGATATTTTTCTCACTCTGCCTTTATTTAAAAGGGAAAAGAGGCAGAGATGCAGGGTCGCCCACCTATGTGCAAAGAGAGGTATGGACTCAACTGATCCCACCAACATGTTGCAGAGTTTCCTGATCACCTTTTAGGATTTTTCCCTGAGTCTCTGGCCTCCACATGCCTCTGGCATTTTTACAGTTTATTCTGTGCCCTCCTTGCAGTTCAGCATGCTACTCCTGCTGTTTTGGGCTTGGCTGCTTTCTTGTCACGCTGCCAGAGCCTGTGAGAGGACACAGCTAAGGAGAAGGTTGATACAGATCTTGTTGACTGTCAGCTTTACTGGACCATTTGTGCCAGCATATGCCCATTTGCCTGCTATAGCTGCAATCAGAAACCTTGCAGCTGGGGAGGCACAGAAGAAAAGGTGCTTCTCAGTTCTTCCTTTCAACTGTTAGTCCATCTGAGAGATGAGAGAGCTGGTGTCTGTGCTGAGGCAAGTTACCAGTCCAGGAAGGTGCCGGAGAAAGTATACATAGCACTGGGAGCAATGTTCCCACATTCACCCTGCAGAGGTATTTAGCAGATTGCCTCAGAGATAAGATCATCCCAAGCACACACAAGTATGGGTAAAGTAGCCTCTCTTTTCCTGCCATTTTCCTCCTCTCCTGTGCATATATCTGAGTGCAGGAGTAGCAGTGTGCCCATCTGAAGTGTATAAAGCAATTTTGCTCCTGCAATTTTCCTTGTACTCCTTCACAATTTCTGTGAATAGAAGCTGCCAAGAGGCTTTCAGAGGCCTCATGATGTTGCAGTGGGGACAGTCTTAGGCTTTTGGTCTCCTTCTTCCTATTTTGTGGGTACTTACTCTTGATTTGTTGTAATGATGTATGTGTGATTAGCTTGCAATTATGCTTTCAGCATGTAGAGCAGACAAGCCAATGTGTGAACAGGATGTCCACATTCCCTTTCTTTAAACTGTGAAAAGCATATACCAATTGCTGGAGGAAATTCAGTCTTAGTTCAAGACTGCAGAACTGCTTGTGACCATGACTGGAAGAATCCAAACTTCCGCCAGGAGCAATTACAAATTTTTTTTGGTAGTCTTTTGGTACAATTGCATGTTCCCTCTTTTGGAGAAGCCAATAAAAGTGTATTCTTGGATGTTTTTGGATTTTTTATTTTATTTGTTTATAGTTTTTTTGTGTTACCCTTCAGTCTGTGTTTGTTTAGGATCACTGTTATTGTTTAATTTCTTCTTGCCTTTTTGTCTGAAATGATGAAAGGAATTTTTTTTTTCCTGAAAATGGGAAAACAGGAAGAATTCTGAGTCTGGATGTAATTCTAATGAATTCTAATGAATAATGAAACATTTAACTGAGAAGTGGAGAAGTCATTAATCAGTCAGAAATCAAACACCTACTTTGGGATCTCTCTTAAAGTCTGTATCCAGTCTTTTGGCTATTCCTGTTTATATTTTATTTCTGCTTTAAACATTGGGCAGGGGAAAGGAGAATCACAGGCTGGTATGTGGTTCATATAGCCCTGATGAAGAGTCAGCATCAGGAGTAAATTACTTGCCTGGCAACATTTCTCTCCTTTGTTCTTCCCTCACAATTTTGTCTTGCTGTATTACCATACCATTCCTCTTTCTGCTTATACAGGGCATGCAGAGGTTTCAGTAGGGGTCAATAGCTAATTCTACAACAAAAGTGAGAACAGTGTTTGGCGCTTGTAGCCCTGTTTCTCTGTACTAAACAATATTTTCATATTTCAGTCACCATACTCATTGCTGGAATCTGTGTTAGCACATAATGCTATTGGTCTTTCTGTTTTGTTTCTTAAACTGTATTATTTTCTCTCATTCAGAATTGAGTTTCTGCGACACCTCAGAAGCTTCTTCCAGATCATGTTTAAAATTGAAACCAAGACCACTGAGGAAGAACACACAGGCGGGGAGAAAGTCTTAATGACATGTGTTGGCATTGGATTTTGCAACCTCAGTAAAACTATAAGATAAAAAGCATCTACAGACTTTGTGAAAGACAGAAAATGCTGCAAAGATCTGATAAAACCTACCTGTCTGTGTACTTTGGCACAGGGAGACCTGTGATGATTCCAGGTGGGGGTATCCAAGCTCACTGCATGTAAACAATAAAGCTGACATTAGACTATTTAGATCTGTGCTATTTATAAATGCAATGCCAGTATTCTGTGCTTAGAGTGGCTCTCTGGAGTCTCAGCTGACTTGGGACTCTTTGCACTGTATTCCACTGAATAGGACACAAGTGCCTCATGTCACTGTGGTCTCAAGCCTTAATGAGGTGAGTGCTCTGGTTTTATGTATTTACTGATTTCACTCATTTTTTTCTGAAAGGTTTAGATAGAGAGGGAAAACAAAATTGACCAAAACAAGCTTTGCATCGCAAAACAAATTACCACAATGGAAATATTTGTTTCTTTAGATAATTGCAGAAATGATACTGGCATGAAAATTAAAGTAAATTCTTTGTTTATACATTGCATGTGTGTAGAATTTGTCAGATGCTCCTCTCCTGTTTACATTTACTAAATTCACAGAATCACAAAATAGTCTGAGTTGGAAATACCCAGAAGGATCACTGAGTTCAGCTCTTAAGTCAATGGCCTATACAGAGATGAAACCCATGACCTTGGCATTATTAGCACCATGCTTTGACCAGCTGAGCTCATCTCTGGGTTGCAGTGTCACGGCAAGAATAAAGTATCTGTCTTTTATTTTTCCTAATATTAGAATATTGCAGAAGAGATGACAGCCTACACTGAATAGTTTTAGCCTCTTTTTCAAAGATGGACATGGGAGGATAGACTTCCATGGCAGCTTTTGACTTATACAAATATTCATTTTAGGTTTGTTTGGCAAGCTATACACATGGTTCACAATTAGTTGTGAGTGGTAGCAAAAATAGCTGTAGGCTTTGAGAAAGAAAAATGTATTCAGTTCCACCATCATACTTTGTGCATCTGCTCCCTTTTTAAAGTGCCAATAAAGCTTTATGGACTGTGTGCTTGGATTGACAGATGCAAAAAAGTTTCTACCAGGTTGTAAATACTTACCCATGAAAGGCTCCTGGTAGATTCCAGGCAAACCTGTTGAAGTTAATGCTGAACTCCTGACACAAGGGAAGAAATTTATATTTGACTTCAGACTATACTTCATGTGTCTGGAGAAAAATAAAACTATGTCAAAAGCTGGTATATAGAGAGAGCAGATACTACTGACTGTGTTAAAATGGTTTTACAAACTGTATCTGATGCCACTGTAAAGTGGGTATTACATCTGTAGTATGAAGAATATATATTGGACCCAAAAAGGACTTTGACAAAAGTTCGGTATTAGTGTTTTGTTAACTTTTGCAGCCATATGAGTAATTTTTTTACTGTACTTCATTCTTGTTGCAATGTGTCACACGTGATCTGAAAAAAATAAAGTAATTTTTTTCCTAAATAAGGTTTTATTTCCCTTTAAACCAAAACCAGCAACAACTGGGAAAAAAAAAAAAGCCTGGAAGTCATAACATAAATGGCTATCTTGAAGTAATACATCAAAAAACCAGTTTTGGGAGTCGCCAGAGAGGGAGGAAGGGAAAGGGTGAAGCCATTCTTATCATTTACTAGCCTTCAAAAATTTGACTTGCAGCTAAGGAAATCCTAAATAAAACAATAGGATGTGAAATAAAATAATGACTATATTTTTTACATTTCAAGTTAGAAAAAGATATGTAGGCCTGAAAGAATTTACCTTGCTCCCCTCTGTCACTATGTAATGAAAAAACTAGAAGCCTTATGAATTAAAATTACCCAAAATACAAGGCACAACTGATCCAAAAGGTGAAATGTATCAACTAAAATTAAAAGCCACTGGAATAAAAATATAAAGCTTACATTAATTAAAGATTAATTAAAGCCACAGCTCCGATTTCCAAAATTTGCTTAAATAAAAATTTTTAAGTATTGTCAAAACTTCAAAAATTAAAAGCTTTATTATTTTTAAGCTTAACTATAAAGCTGTGAGTTTTTCCAAATGTTCCAGTTGCACCAGGCATAGAGACATAAGTTGCCCAAGCAGCAGATTCTTCAGCAATAATTATGTCACACAATTACCTGTACTTAACCTCAGTGTTAAAATTGGACTGGTAGGCCTTAGCCCTGCTGCAAACTGCACAGCACTACAGCACAACACTTGCTGCAATTCTGAATTTGCTTGTTGCTTTACAGAGAAAATGAAAGGTATATGAAACTAATACATTTTTCCAGAAGAGTCACTCTTTGGAGAAATATTAACAATTCCAGAGGAGGTTTTAGGTAAGAACTTTCTTGAAATTATTTGGCCTTCATATTCTGGGAAAAGTACTTATTAGAAGGAAATCCTGCAGATAAAAGCTATGTGTTTAATGGCAAAACAGCAATTGACATCTGTTTTGGTGGTCTGATCACACAAGCAGTAATTAGTTAATTTTAGAGCTGGACAGAGGAAATTAATTTTTGGTGAAAAAAATTCATAGTGTTGTTAGCCACAGACTTTTTGGTAAATATTACAGTTACTAGGAGGCACATCTCTCATCTCAGTCCATCCACAGCAGAGTAATACTCGGGTAACTTAAATTTGAAGTGATTAGCTGTACATGAATAATCCTGTACTCTTTGAACAATCCATCAGTAATTTAATCCCTTTGGGTGAACAGCTCTGATCACAGAATCAGAATGGTTTTGGTTGGAAGAGACCTTACAGATCATCTGGCTCCACCATCCCCCAACCAGGTTGCTCAAAGACCCATTCAGTCTGGCCTTGAGCACTTCCAGGGATTGGGCATCCACAACTATGTTGGGCAACCTGCTAGAGCAGCTCACCACCCTCACCGTAAGGAATTCCTTCCTAATAGCTGATCTAAACATACCCTCTTTCAGCTTAAAGCCCTCACAACTTTTTCTGTCACTACAGGCATTTTAAAAGAGTTCCTTTTCATCCTTCCTTTAGGTTCCATGAAGTACTGACTTAAAGGTGCTGTAAGGTCTCCACAGGGTCTTCTCCAGGCTGTACAAACCCAACTCTCTCAGCCTGTCCTCATGAGGAGGAGAGGTGCTCCAACCCTCAGATCTTTACCATGGGCCTCCTCTGGACCTGCTCCAAGAGGTCCAGGTCTTATGCTGGGTTTCCTAGAGCTGGTTGCAGCACTGTAGGTGCAGTACTGTTAGAGTGGCAGTCATGGTGACATGAAAAGTATTTGTAAAATATACCTTTACCTTGCATCTCCTGCCAATTTTGTAATACCTGTTGTCAAACTTTCTTCTGTGATGCTATGATTGTAGTTTGGCTGCATGTTCTGTGGTTAAGTCAGAAAATTCATGCTAACTTGCTGTAGGACAGCTTCTGGAGTAGAAGAGATTATATTGCAAGCAAAAGTGTTTCATTCCAAGCCAGTGCACTTTACCAAACACGTATGGCGAAGTGTCTGGGGAAGCACATAGTAGGTAAGCTAGCTAGGCCAAAACAGTAAGTACATGGCTGTCTTGGGTAATGTTTTCAAAATGGTGTTTTGTTACTGCCAGAGCATAGATACTTTCTCTCTTCTTCTTCCTCATGGGTGGTATGGATTTTGTTTCAACCCACAGAGGCATAATTCTCTGCTTGTAAATTCTGACATTCACTTCCCTGTTTCTCAATCACACTCTCGAGACAGAAACCAGAGGCAAAAAAAAGACAAGAAAATAACCTTTTTTCAAGGTGCATGATTTTGTCTATGAGTTAATTATTTCCTCCCCTCCTTTTTTTTAAAAATATTGTGTGGCTACCTCCACACTTTTATTTTGTATGTCTGATGTATGTCAACTTCTATTTAATCTGGCTCCTAAGGGATCCCAAGTGAGACACAGAACTGTATAATAATAAAAATAAAAATATGGAAGGAGCATCTTTTGCAGTTACTATTTAGGTCTTGGTAAGCTCTATCTTAAAAGAGCATTCATGATGGGTTATCTAGTGTCTTCCTTGTTCCTGATCTCTGAGCAACACTGACAAGCTCTGAAAAACTCCTTTAACCTGTTGTCAATGAGTGGGGTAAAAAGACAGAAAGTCCTGCAGAGAAGAGTGTGTGGGCTGAACTGTGTGGTGTTGGCACTGGATGAGTAACAGAAGTAAGTCATGCACTGTGTCGCAGCATCACAATGTCCAAATAGCATTTGGACTAGATATAAATTGAGTTGTGACATTGTTACAAGAAAGAACTATTAGGGTGATTTGTAGTAAATCTGTAGCAATAGTTGTCAGGTATTAGTGCTAATCTCTTTCCTGGAACAGTAAGATTATGTATATGCACTAAGAAGAGCGCCCTGAGCTGTATTCACTGTGTATTAGAGAGTATAGAAATACTCTGCATGTGTATGTAGCAAATAAGGAGACCCACAGAGGAAACCTGGTTTAAAGTAGATCAAGGGTGTAGCCATATGAAAACAAAGGCCAAAATAAACTTTTTACATGAGGGTTAACAGTGGCTGGGTGCCCATGGAAATGAAGTAACAACTGCTCTGTGCAACTGAGCACACAGAGGTAGGCTGTGTCTCTGCACATTTGTCCTCATGCTATATGTCTGCCACACAGTCACTCCCTCTTCTCAGTACCAGTTTGGCAATACTTCCCTGGCAGCCTCCACTATGCTGCTCACACAGCAAACATGAGTACTCCTTCAACAGTGAGCCCATGGTGAAAATCTGCAGGACCTTGTGGAGACTGATCCATGGGGCTATCTGGGCTTAACTGTGGATGAGCTAGTAGGATTAAGAGCTTGATTCCAGTGATCATCACTACATGTCAATGACACATCGCGTTTTACAAAATGCAACAGGCTCAGGAGGACACCCATGAGGGTGGATGCCTCAGAAGTTACACATTTAAGAACAAATGCCTTACCCCTTCGCACTACATTTTTAACCTGCTGCCACCTTGCTCCTTGAAAGTTACTTAAATATTTTATCAATCCTAAACTGTCTCCAAGGATAAGGAAAAAATTGCTCTAGCAACTTTTTTTCGTAAATGTAGATATATTTTCTTAACTTTTGATGAATGTGGATATATTTTGTAAGTTAAGACTTCTGAATGGTCATCCCTCAGCACAATCAGGACAAACAATTTTCTTTGTGTGTCTGGAAATGCAGTTTTGATTCTCTGTATAATGCACTAAACATCTGCAAGATACGTCTAGATCAAAATATGCATGAGTTTATTTGTTTTTTTTGTGTACACACATTCAGAAAGTGCCTGAAGAAGTAAGGCTTTCTGAGAGATTCATAAAAGTATTTGTATTTAGGAGACACATCTAAACATTCAGAATGTGACTGGGAAAGAATTTCTACTGCAGAATGTTTCTGAGCATTGACTGTAAAAATCTACTTAATAATTCATGCCACAAGTTTATTATCCACTATTTTCACTTGATTTTTGGGACATAAGTAATCTACATAATAGATTTTCAAAGGACACAT